GCTACGAACTGATCATCCTGTCATTCATCTCCAATTATCAATTTATTTCTTCTTGTCAACGGTACTCCGTGAGTACTTCTCCTCTTTTTTCCTCACTCACAACACCCAAACTCTCCGCATTTTTCTTCCTCGTACCGCCCCGTGTGTCTGCTCCCTTGCGTTCAGCCGGTCGATCATCTGCCAAAACGGAAAAGACTGCAATAAAAACGGAGGACCGTAACCAAAAAAAAAAGAGGAGAGAAAAAAAAAAAAAGAATTGAAAGGGCCCCCAGCTGGTCGCATTGAATGCGCGTCACGACTGCACTTTTTTAACTCTCAGACCTGAAAATATCTGGTACCTCATATTTACTTTTAGGTTTTTGCTTTTTTCGTTTTCAACCCTTGTTCTTGTTGTGAGCCGCCGAGGACGGAGTACAGCGTAAGTCATTCATTTACTTACTTACCTGCCTAGCTCTTTCTCTCTTCGTTCTTTTTATATCCTTTTTCACCTTTCACTCCGGTGTTTCTCTTTCTTCAGCCCTGCTTCGCTTCCTTTCTTTTGAAACTGCCTTAGACAAGTGAGGCTCGTTTCAGTTTAGGCCCCCCCATCTCTCCCTTCCTTTTCCGCTTTCATTTAAAAAGCACTGCGACGTCGATGATCCGAAATTGTTTCTTCCTTTGAAAATAAAAAATTTCTAAATCAATTATGCATTGAATTGGCATCTTTCACGATGACAACCGCTCATATTACTCCTCTACAGCAGGACCTTTCGGCATCGGTCACAACCACAAGCCCGGTCGCCCAAATACATTGCAGTGCCCCGGAATCTTTATCGTCCGGTCATACAAGTTCTAGCGCGGAACATCGCCGGTCAGTCGACCCATCGGCCGTCGTTGGCGCCAATTTCCCCAAACAGACCAATCGCCGCGCTTCAATTTTCAGGAAGTTGGCGGGTCCACGCGAGAACGCAAAGCGTTTCCTCCGCCTGGGGGGTTCCGTCCGCGCTCAGTCGCCGCCATCGATCCGCTCGATGTCCCGTACACAGCGTCCTCGTCCGGTCTCCGAGATCGTATTGTCTCGCGAAGATGCACGAATGCTCGCCTCTGCTAGTTTAGGAGCCGGTCTAGGAACGGGCAGAATGCGCTCCCACTCCTCTTCTACCGGATCGGTAAATCAGTCCTCTGCGGGGTCCGTAACGAGTGCGCCATCATCGGACTCAATGGGGCCATTTCCGACGCTACGGCACGAGAAAATTGTTGCAACAGGAAGTGGTATCACAGTGGGTATTGCCCTCACGGAGCCTGTGATATACCTGCAGGGATACGACCAGAATGACCCAAGCACAAAGAAATCGGCCATTTTACGTGGCCAGTTGCATCTCAAGGTGACCAAAAGCGTTAAGATTAAGAAGATATCGATCTGCTTCCGTGGACATGCACAAACCGATTGGCCCGAAGGTGGGTTCCAACAACTGTTGTGAATATGATTTTCTAAATGCGCACGCTAACTAGACTTTGCGTCTCTGCAGGAATACCACCTAAAAAGGTACATTACCATGATAAGAAGGACCTGGTCACCCATTGTATGATATATTTCAATCACGGTGATTCGGTTCTGACGCCGAACGACTACGGAGCAAACTTTTATCAGCATGCCAAACCAGTGACCTCCGTTACTGGAAAGGATGGTAGCCCAGTAACTGTTACTCGCGAAATCTTAAAATCTGGATCCTCAACCTCTCTCAGTAATGCTCAGCCTACGAGTAAGGAGCTAAAACGCCTTTCCCTTCAATCCAACCACTCTCGCAGCTTCGGGAAGAACGATCCGCCCCCTAGCGCAGTCGCCCATCCACAGCGCAACTACCGCATGTTTCCTGTCGGTGATTACCTGTATAGTTTCGAGTTCCCGATCGATGGCTCCCTTCCAGAGACTATCAAGACAGATCTGGGATATGTCCGGTATGATTTGGAAGCCATCGTGGAACGATCAGGCGCGTTCCGACCCAATCTCCTCGGTAATCTTGATGTGCCGGTCATTCGCACGCCGGCGGAGGGCTCCTTGGAACAGGTCGAGCCGATCGCTATTTCTCGCAACTGGGAAGACCAATTGCATTACGACATCGTTATCTCAGGGAAATCCTTCCCCTTAGGCAGCCAGGTGCCCATTGCATTTAAATTAACACCGCTAGCCAAAGTCGAATGCCACCGGATTAAAGTCTACGTAACGGAAAACATACAGCATTGGACGGCAGACAAAAGCGTCCACCGCTTCCAGCCGGCCAAGAAGGTGCTACTGTTCGAAAAACGAGCTGATTCAGCTAGCACGAGTACGTACCCAGGCAGCTCAATGCGCGTCACAGCAGGTGGTGGCATTGACTGGGATCATCGCGCTGCTGCTGCGAGGGGCGATGAAGTTGTGGACCGGAACCGGACAAATCTTTTGGGCAATTTAGCCAGCGATTCCGGCGTCGGTCCGACCGAAATGGAGTTTAATGTTCAACTCCCGAGCTGCCATGAGATGAAGAATCGGGATGAGTCTCACAGGCTACACTTCGACACCACGTACGAAAACATACAGATTAACCATTGGATCAAGGTAGGATGGATGGGCTTCCACCTGTTAGGTTCCGAAAGCAATATGGCTAACGCGTTTCTTTCAGATTGTCCTTCGTCTCTCTAAGGTGGATGAAAGAGATCCGAGTAAGCGAAGACATTTCGAGATCTCTATCGACTCTCCATTCCACCTACTTTCGTGCAAGGCCACACAGGCCAACATTTATCTCCCAGCGTATACCTCGCCAAATTCGGATCCTGCGCCGCCTGCCCAGGAGTACGAATGTGGGTGCCCAGGAGCCGCCGCGCTCAATAGAGCCAGCAGCTCGACCGGCCGCTCTCTGACTTCCGAAGCAGAGGAGCCGCCGACTGGTAGAGCAGTTTACCGAAGTTTCACGAATGGCTCCGGCGGCTTGGCACGACCTCCTCAAGCGCATTTGGCACATGAGCCAAGCGACCGTGCAGATGAACCTCCACCACGTCCTATGCATCTACTCCGCACCCCGTCATTTGCTCCACCCGCGTTTGAAGATGTTCCGCCACCGCCACCGCTCATAACACCACCCCCTGAATACACCTCTATAGTCGGCAACAACGACCGGGAGACGGTGCTGGAGGACTATTTTTCCCGGCTGTCGTGCTATGAAGAAGCTGCCGATGACCCACGGGGTCTCGGACGGGTTGATGTGCCTCTGACCCCTGGAGGGCGGGTGAACCGGAGTATGGACGTCCCACGGGAGTGGGTTCGCTTGGATCAGTCGGCCGTCTAAGCCGTTAGATGGCTAGATGTCAGTCACGGAGTTACGATGTCATGAATTAAATGTATTCTTTTCATCTTGAAGGGGATCCACAGGTGCTTGATGTTACACCTGAAAATTCCCCTTGACGGTATCATACGATTAGCGCTGCACGCTGATGGATTATATTTGTTATAAATCGGGTTTACAGGGTTACAAGGCGCAGAAGGACAAGGATGATGGCCGGCGCTGGAATATGGAGGGCATCATCATGAGCGAACTTGATTTTCTTGGATTTTCTTTTCTCTGCTATACATCTCGCAAGTTCGTTATGTCTATGTCTCACAAACATATTTGAACTAGCGATTGATGCAATTCGCTTCATAAATTTTATATGTTATTAAAGTATATAGACCGCTGTTTCATCATCATTCAGATCGTGTAAGTACGTATGAACGCACTTCGACTACAATTGCCTCCAACCGCAAATCTACGAAAACTACAATTTGTACTATTTCGGCCTCTTTTCCAAATAACTCTCAAGTCGAATATTATGCAATCACAATTCTCTTACCGGGAAATCAACAGAATATGAAACAGGTAGTGATATGCTGGAAAAGTCGTCTCTTGGTATTATTGATTCATACCTTGGACAAACGCTGACGATTGAAATATATACATCTGTTGAGAAGGGGATACAGCTCCCATTGTTCAGATGGTAGAGACGAGCTATATGGGAGCATCGTCTCCGACAAGATCAAGCCTCGGCACGATGGCTGGGAAGGGGAATTAGCACATCTTATTTGAAGACGCACACTAGTGTTAACTATAGCTCGTGAGATGACAGTCCATCAACTGACCAGCACGAGATTTTCGGAACATCTGCCGTTACAAACTTGGATGTCTGGCTATAATTTGCCGGCGATCAAGCAATATTTACCTGCGCGATAGGACGACGCTAACAGAGTTAAACCCGACTAGATCAAGGGCCGTTCCGCTGACTTTCTATACGGCCGGTAAGAGAATCATGTGGTCTAGAACATGCATATCGGTTGCCAGGCCATGGCTGATGAACCCAATCTTCACAAGCCGGAGCTACCTTGTTTCTGTAACCGGGTAAAAATGTGGAGATTGCGAGGTTGCAGTCCCAGGTGGCTATACTAGCACGTGGTCTCCTGCATGTCAGATTGGAAACCATCACACTTGGATACTATGACACCCCTCAACGCATTTCCCCAGTTTTTAGATTAATTGAGGAGGTCATAGACAGCCACCAAACAGAATCGTCTGGCGGAGGCATGGCCACAGTTTAGACGATGATATCCGATTCAGTATGAAGGAGATGATATTGGTGGATATACCAACCTGCGGTCTTTGCTCTCTGGCTTGCGTCTCGATGGTTATGAGCCAGGGCCACTGTTTCTTCACAATTTCCTCCTCCAACGCATGGCAAGGCAAACCACCTGATCCATCTAATAGACGCCTGGCCCAAAAGTGTGAGAAGTTCCTAGGACTAGTCTATCCCGAGATTCCGCACCCTTTCCTATTACGATGAGGAGCAAGAAACTTCGGAGTAAAGTGTCCAGGTTCTGCACAACGTGAAGCTCGCCGCCAAGTCTTAGTTACGGGGGATATGTCCCTGTTTAGGCTCAGTGCGAACTGGCTTCCGCTCTTGTCTTGATTTGAATAGAGGTTATTCTGTTTCCATCACGGAGAATGAGCTTCTTGTCTCTGAATGTCGTTTCTCCAACGGACCGGCGGGCCTTCGATCCGGTCGACAAATCTTCAAGTCTGCACGATACGATGATGCCCGAGTCAGACAGGACATCTATATAAAGACGTCTCCTTTCCGGAGTTCAATATGTTCTCATGAAATCCAAGCACCGGCCAAGCTTCGCAGAGTCAAGATGGCCTCTCTTCTTTTCTCCAGGATCTGCCGCAATGCCCTCATCTTGTCTTCAGTGCTGATTACTGCCCAGGGTCAGCAGATTGGAACTTACCAGACCGAAACCCATCCCTCGATGACCTGGCAGACATGCAGTAACGGTGGCAGTTGCAGCACCAAGCAAGGCTCTGTTGTCCTCGATGCCAACTGGCGTTGGGTCCACCAAACCGGAAGCTCTAGCAACTGCTACACCGGCAATAAATGGGATACTTCCTACTGCAGTACCAATGACGCTTGTGCCCAGAAATGTGCCTTAGATGGCGCCGACTACTCCAACACTTACGGTATCACCAGCAGCGGCAGTGAAGTCCGTCTCAACTTTGTCACTAACAACTCCAACGGGAAGAACGTCGGTTCCCGCGTCTACATGATGGCCGACGATACCCATTATGAGGTCTACAAACTGCTGAACCAAGAGTTCACCTTCGATGTGGACGTCTCCAAGCTTCCATGTGGTCTTAACGGCGCTTTGTACTTCGTCGTAATGGATGCTGATGGTGGTGTTTCCAAATATACAAACAACAAAGCTGGCGCTAAGTACGGTACTGGTTACTGTGATTCTCAATGCCCACGGGATCTTAAGTTTATCCAGGGACAAGCCAATGTCGAGGGCTGGGTACCGTCAACCAACAATGCCAATACAGGCACTGGAAACCATGGTTCCTGCTGCGCAGAACTGGACATATGGGAATCTAACAGCATTTCGCAAGCTCTCACTCCTCACCCATGCGATACGCCCACCAACACTCTATGCACCGGGGACGCTTGCGGTGGCACATATAGTTCTGATCGCTACAGTGGCACGTGTGATCCTGATGGCTGCGACTTCAACCCGTATCGTGTGGGCAACACCACCTTCTATGGCCCTGGCAAGACAATTGACACCAACAAACCAATCACCGTTGTGACCCAGTTCATCACCGATGACGGCACGTCCAGCGGCACCTTATCCGAGATTAAACGGTTCTACGTGCAAGACGGTGTGACATACCCCCAGCCCAGCGCAGATGTTAGCGGCCTAAGCGGCAACACCATCAACTCGGAGTACTGCACCGCAGAGAACAGCCTGTTCGACGGCTCAGGCAGCTTCGCGAAACACGGTGGGCTCGCCGGCATGGGCGAAGCCATGTCGGCTGGAATGGTGTTGGTCATGAGCTTGTGGGATGATTACTATGCCAACATGCTCTGGCTTGACAGCAACTACCCCACCGACGAGTCCACAAGCAAGCCCGGCGTGGCCCGTGGAACTTGTTCCACGTCATCCGGTGTTCCTAGCGAGGTCGAAGCCTCCAACCCTAGCGCCTATGTGGCCTATTCCAACATTAAAGTTGGCCCTATCGGCTCCACTTTCAAGAGCTGATCTCCGGGGCGGATCTCCATATAACTGCAGGTGATAAACTTTATCTCCTTTGAGTGCCTGTCGTTGGCCATGGGTGGTGATTATGATCAAGTATATTTCGCCATCGCTATGTAAGGAGGGGATATCATGAGTATTGAGAAGCAGGAAGAATGTACGGTAACGCCGCTGTAGTGAGAAGGAAATGCAATGAAATGACGTCGTTGAGATCTATAGTCCTTACCGCCCAGAACCCTGTGGAGAATCCCGCATAGAGCTTCCTTTTCGGATAATGCCGAGCGAATGCTTTTTCAGCTGTCTGTCATTCATAATGATCCAGTGACCACCGGCCAGTTTACCTCAATTCTTGTAGATCTCTTCTTCCCCTTCACTGTCGACACATTTTCTTGCCAGGAATAGAACACACTGTACCTCAGAACAAGCATAATAACCCTCACTCGGTCAGTCTATTCGCCCATATGAAGTTCCCGGCGCTGATCTGTATTTTAAGGTTCAGACAATCCCCAAATACAACTCGAAACCCAAATCCATAATCCCAGTCACCATGACCGTCGAGGTTGTGCCCCTCACAGAAGCAGACATCCCCGATGCGATCGAAGTCATCCAACAAGCATTCGCAGAAGACCCATACTTCCAATGGGTTTTCGATCCCTCCAATGTGAGTTCTGATCGACAGACAAAACACTCATTCCAGGGTCCCAGAACCTAAACCCCCATATCTCCACACCAGGCAAGAAATCCCACCACAGAAAAATAACAAGCTAACGAACAGCGGCCCATCAACGCGGTCGAGGTGAAACACCGACCGACGTGATGGACAAGCCATGCCCCAAACTCACAGTTCAACAAGCAAAGGAACTATGATTCCCTCGCTGCGCGGTGTCTCTGGGGGATCAACAACGCCCTGTTCCACGTCGCCAAGGAAACCAGTGCAAACGGCGCGGACCGCGTGGTCGGCGTGTCCTGCTGGTTACCGCCGCATGCCGCGTCCGAACCGGAGAGCTGGTACAGCTGGTGTCAGGGGTGGGTGCTGAGCTGGCGACAGATGCTGAACAACGTGTGGCATTTGGGACGGGGCGGGCTCCGGACTAATCGGTACTGGATCTGGAAGGAGAGGCAGCAGGAGGCGCAGAGCGCGATCTGGGATGATCCACGGGGGTACTATTTCTGCAACATTGTGGCTGTCAGTCCTCAGGCGCAGGGAGGTGGGATTGGGAGGAAGTTGTTCGAAGCTGTTACTGATATGGCGGATCGGGAGGGGGTGAAGTGCTATTTGGAAAGTTCGCGGAATGTGCCTAATGTGCAGATTTATGAGAAGATGGGGTTCAAGATGAAGAAGGAGATGGAGTGTCGGGATGGGGAGGATGTTTGCATGGTAAGTTTGTTTTTTTTTTTTTATCTTCCCCATGAGCCTTGAGAGATGGATGTCTGATACTTTGGCAGCTTTATTGCATGGTTCGTGAGCCTAATTCAGAGAAGTGAGGGTTCGGGGCAGTTTCTATCTTTTTTTACTGTATGCGGTATTTGATGGCGAATCGGGATGGCAGGGTTTACAGGAGGTCTGCTACTTTACAATTTTCCTTCGATTAAGAAACGAAAGCATGATACTAGTACATATTGCTAACATTCATTCACGATCTGAATTGGAAAACTATATACTGAGATGTAAGAACACATCCTACTACATCACCCCCAACACATCCGCACAGCCCTACTAGTATAAGGGTAGTATACAACAGACACCAGCACCCACCAACCCAAAAAACCTCTAGACCAACAAAAACCTCCCAGACTTAAGGAAAGACGGAGAAGAAGAGAAGAGAGAAAAAACCCAACCTTCAAGACCCCCCCTCCTTCATCCATCACATCCCATCACAAACAATCACAATCACAATCACAATCACACCCCATAACCCTACCAAGCAGTAGCAATAGCAATAGCATACCTGAAACAACCCAAACCCCTCCAGAGCCTCTACTAATTTAGTAATAAAGCTTAGTCCCAACCTAAACCACCTGACCGTTTCCACCAGCGCCAAGCAATTACTTAACCACTACCACACTGGAAGTCAACGTCGGCTTTGGCCGTCACTTAGCACGCCGTGTTATTATAACTCTTCTGTTATAGGGGTGCCCTTCGTCCGAAATGAGGATTACGTTGTTGACTTTGGATTGGATTTAGATTCGGACCTGGGTGGGGGGTGATTATTCGTGTGAGTTTGGGGTTTATGAATTTTTTCTAATTGATTCGATTTGATTATACTCTGGGTTGTTGGGAGTATTTGGGGATGGGGTGTTTATTTACGGAGTAATAGTACTCGTATGTATGTATGTATGTATGTATGTAGATACTAGTAGACAAGGCAAAGTAAGGCAGGTAAACAGACAGGTACTTTTGTCTATACAACATACGCAAGCAACCAACTAGCCAACCCCATACATACAACAACATACCCTATAATCATAACTACCTACGAATACTGATACAAAGACAGTACAACCCCCAACTCTATGTAGAATTTACAAAAAAGAAAAAAACCCTCCATTCCAAGGACAGTAGACCCCACAATCAAACCCCTACAATCCCAATCACAATTTCACAATCCAGGGTCCAGGTTCCAACCATCTACCTACCCTATCTACCTAATCTCCGCCATCCCACTATCGCCAAAAAGCCATAAGCATTATGTTTCAGAACCAAGACTTGTGTACTTACATCACTTTATCTATCGAACCCCGTAAATTCCACCCAGTGCACAGTAAGCACCAAGTTAACACATTAACAAAGGTTGATAAGACAACGGATCGGGCCGGAGAAGGGAAGGGACCGATAGAATCAGTCCATAAGATGTTGTGATACCGGGATCAACCGCTACAGAGGGTTTAGAATCTGACGGGGCGGGAGGGTCTATATGTGAGGGTGATATTGATAATAATGACATTATGGAATGGGATGTATGAGTGAGACACGGAGATTGATTTCCGGTTTGGTTTGGTGATTGGTTGTTAGTTTGGGGATTTGGGTTCGGTTTGTTTTGTTCCAGGTTTTGTTTGTATTGAGTTCTTGTGTGTACTTTGGGGAGATGTTAGGTATTTGTGTTGTGGTGGTTGGTACATACATATATCATCGGGTCTAAGAATAGATATGTATTCTCTAGTCATGGTTTATAGAAGTATAGAGTATAAGTATAGCAATAACGATGGTATACGAAAGACGAAGATAACCAACACTCTCGACCATCAGTTTCCAAAAACCGTAGTTATCTACTTAATACCCTACTATGTATACAGGCTGTAAATTTATACATACAATGTCCACTTCCACTACTTTCTTTCAATGAAGTATACCACCAAAGATACATACCCATACAGTAACCTCAACACTGCCACCTAGGAAAATAAGACCCGTACTATTTCCATTAAAATAAATCATAGCCGCAACAAATCCAATTAGCCTATCCTACTTTAATATATATATCGTACATTCAGCCTACTAACATCAGGGATAATTGTCATGTATTAGATCCGTACACTCCGTGCCAGATAGCATAATCTTCAGACTTATCATTTAGCCTAAATTAACTCGATGGCCTCGATACGAGCTTCCGAGGTAGAGCAGTGGGTATGGAAATATGCCAAGGGACTTGAATCAGACACCGAGATGATACCTATATCGGTCTGTGATGAGAAGAAAGAATGGGGGGTCTGGTGTGGTGGTTGAGGTTTTGCTTTCATGACTGAGCTCGGTAAGACTTTTGTGAATCATACTATGATGGTGTTTTTAGGATTTAGTACTAGGTTTTTCGAAGATATATGGTTCTAGTCATTATTAGTAGTACTTCCGCATCAAGCCAAGAGACCAGTGCGCTGACGCTGACGATCTAGTTGATATTAAATCCCCAGCCTGTTACAACCACTTCGGAAAGAGGAAACGTTATGAAAGCTCACTGGCCTACTACTAAAGTACATGCATAAACCAACAAACCCAATTCTTAGTGTCTCTCTTCGCAAGCAGTTTCCATAACCCGGAGTACTATGTAAATGGCCACCTGTACATGGACCAAGTAGACTACGGTCATAGCTCCCAGGCCGCTTCCCACTAGTTGGTAACTAGCCAGGCACTGACTCGGTCTTATCTTGGCGGGACCGCTACTACGTACACCCCGAAAATAAATCAATGGACAAGGATTACGATGTAAGTAAAGTTCTCAAACAAGGAAAGGAGCCAGAGGAATAATGACAATATGTAACAGCTTTCCCCTGTGTTGGTAGAATAAGGAAAGAGTTTCAAAAAACTGACTCGATGTATGCATTTTTCCACGAGTAGGGACACCAAAGTTTAATATATAGATTCATGGTTAGTGCGAAGAGTGAGGCGGCAGGGGCTGATTTATTGCTAATTCGCGTCGTTCTTGCCGCTTACTCTGCCGAGCCAACGTAGCAGGGGGCTTATTGTTCCTCAAGGCTGTACCTTTGCAGAAGTTGGCTAGTACTGGACAGGATCCCGTGTGCCCTAGTACTCGCCCGTATGCATGGTACTTCTCCAGGATAAAAGTACTCTTATAGTACTAATTAGGCTATTACGTACCTGAGCTGAAGTTCTCATTCAGCTTTCTTTGATCGGTTGATTGGCCGGTTGCCCCTTTTCTTTGTCTTTCACCGAGCGTCTGTTCCGTATTCTTGGGAGGGATGTAATTAATTGTGGAGGAATGCTAGTATAGGAGAGTGCACGTGCCCTCGACCGACACAGATGAATGTGGAGATTTCTAAGGGTCTTTGACTTGAGTATGTCGGTTTGCTCTGTTTGTTCCGTACTTTTGGTGATTCTCGAAGAAGTGTACGAATACGTACTCTGTAGGAGGCCAGATCATACAGTTTACAGGGGGTTGGTTGAGGAAACTGTGCCTCGACATGCCTTGGCAACTTTGATTGACTGGCACCTCTACTTACGCCCGTACGGTTGAAAGTCATTTAAGTCGCGCAATTGTGCCTTGAAAACCTGCATGGTCTGAGCTATGATGGTTCAAGGCCACGTAAGAGTATTAAGTGCTTAGTGTCCTCAACGAACAAGGGCCACATACTCTAATATAGTATGACCGAGTAATACTCCGTAGGGCGATAAGAACGAGTTCGGCTTTCGTGTAAATAACCCGGAATGGAAAAGGACAACCTTATGGTATGGTGAGACCAGGTTGTGCATCCCAGCATCGGCTCTTAAAGATTTTTTTTTTCAATCTTTTAGAATTTCTTTTGCTAACCTTGGGTGAACATGATCATCATCAATGTATCAGGCCATGGGATAAGTTGGCATGTGTTACCCGGGCTTCGCTTCTACCCGCCCGAGCGTTAGTAGCGAGGAGTCGATGCTTTGTAGAAGATATGATGAGGATATAGTATCTCCATAGGGCCTCGGTTCGGTTCGGTTCGATCACCGAACTTTGACCTGACCGTATGGTGCGATGGTTTGGAAAAGAGCTTGCATACATGCCACTTCGGTGATCCACACATCCATAGCGTCAGTCTCTCTCATTGGACCTCAGGATCTTCAGGGCAACTATCGAGAGATGGTTGTGCAATGGCTAGCTGTCGCCCTTCTTCAGGTTTTGACTCCCAGCCAATAGTGAGGCAATGTATACAGAGGATATGACGACCACCATGGATCCAATTCCCCCCTGAACTCTTTAGTGTAGCGAGTGGACCGGCTATGCTTTAAGCGTTGCCCTGCAGGAATGCACATTCGGCCCGAAGGTGGGCTTGGTCAGAAGGTAAAGTGGTCGTACGCAATGGTATTCAATATACAGTACCCTTCGCGTTCCTTAGCAGGCATCGGAAATTAAATTATTAACCGTGGTGCGAGGAAGGATTGCTGTAGTTTAGTCCCTAGGCAAATGAGAAGCGATAGAATTGCGGGGATAAATGTATGCAAAATGCCTGTTGAATGGCCGCCATCCGAAAAAATCCTCGGCCTCCCCACTCCCGGGAGAGAAGTTGGTGACCAACCTTAGAGAACTCCACCCATCCATTCAATTTCAGCACCAACTGATTCTTGTGTGGTGCTAACTAACTAACTAACTAACGGTCTACTCCATATGCATTCCAATTTTGTGTCACTACACCACATGGGTGGGTGGGTGGACAGCGTTGATCACATTGCATCAGTCGTGTCCATCACAGAGTGGCAGTCCCTTGGCAGGGTTCATGGGAAGACCAAGACCAGGGTAGAACAAAGAGAACCAGAAAAGAAAGTAAAGGACCAAGACCAAGCCGTTAATCCTTGTCCGTATCTCTCAAGCTTGTTGGTTTACCGTGTGACCGTCAACCGCGCATCGGGGGAAAATGCAGCCCAGCCTCCGGTCTGACAACTAGTCGGCTCTAAGAACCACTAGAATCCACACCACTCGGCCGGTCGCTTTACTTCGTCATAGGACGGGGGAGCACAGACTTCGTCTGGGCCTCCGTAGATGCAGGACGATATATGCTTGGCAGGCAACGGTTCTGCTATCATGCACCTCATTGCGTTGAGTGCAATGACCACTGGCTGATAACAAGCGGTGGCTAGCGGTATAGCGTTATACTTCGCCTTCGAGCCTGAGTATTGTTGATGCTAGTCTAAAGAGAAGGTCAAGGCGGCCTCTTGTGTTCTTGTGTAGCGCTTCCCCTTAGTTCCCGCTTCTCTGACTCGTCAAAGTGGTTCCCCTCGCGAGGTCAGTCCGTGCCCGCCCCAAAAGGTGAAGAAAAGAACAAAGCAGTTCGGAAAAGCACCACCATCTGGAAGCAATAGTAACCCTTCAAAATAGGCAACGATATGGTAAATTTAGTTTGTTTTCCTTCATGTGACAAAACAGGGTGATATATAACATGACTGAAGCCAAACAACAATGGGATCTAAACAGGATAGAGAAAAGAAAATAGTGAAGAAGAAAAGAAGGGGGAAAAAAAAGAAAAAGGAAAAGGAAAAAAGCCGACCCTCTTTTGTTGACTCCTTAAAGCGCCATACATGATGCCCGTGCCAGATCCGATATACATGTGACAGAAGAATTTCGCCTGGAATTTCTGGAAGACATAAAGCGGGAAAGGAATAAAGAAAGCGAGTAAATAATAACAAAATTAGAAAAGAAAAACCAGATAAGTCGGACAGACAGATAATGAGAGAGTAAACAAGGCGCTCATGGAACAATCGAGGAATTATTAATGATGGTGGTTCGAAAGAATTCGTGAGATATGCCGTGAAGATATGCCGCATTCTAAATTCGGAGGAGGCCGTTGAGGCCATATAGTGTTTCGTCGACGTCGATCCATATAAAATCAACGACAAAGTCGACATTTGCCGACCACCACAATAAATCGATCATGGGGACTGTCGTTACATCGGTTTTCTTTAGATCCATCGATGGATGTTCGGATGAAATGCACATTGGGCTCACGGCAAGTGCTGTATATGTAGTAGTTTTTGAAGTAGTTGCACATTGCGGCCGCATCCACTGCCGTCAGAGAAGGAGTGGCCTTTGAGGAAGGGGATGTCGTCTCGAAATTCGGAAGGATAGAGAAGTTCAATTGTGTGGATCGTTATGACAGTAGTAGTATATCGAATAATGCCACCCTACCTCGGGTACACAGGTAGTCTAGTACGATGGGTGTCAAGGTATATAAAAGAGGATATACTGAGCAAGCCTGTAAAAAAAAGGTAATTGTATCAATATAGGCCATATGAGGCAAGGGAGGAAGAATGATAATATATGTACGTCGCTCATGGAGGGCAACACCAGCATGGCTTGTTTGCTAGTAAGTTAGAGAGAACCACCAGGGTTGTGGCCCATCACAAGCCGGCGGCCGAAAGGTTAGACAGGGGAGTGAAGAAAATAAGAAATTCATTAATATATTATTCGAATGAAAATTAAAAATACAAAACAAATAAAAAATTAAAAAATTAAAAAACAACTAAAAAGAAGGTAGTGCCCGACGATCCATTTGCAGAGTATCGAAGTAGCCTGGGATGAAAAGCAAGAAGAAAAAAAAAAAAAAGAAAAAAAAAACCTTGCGAGGTGACCGGCCCATCTCCGTGAAGCGTCATTGGAACTGCAGCAATCTAGAAAATAGTGAAACTAAGGACGTAGACTAACGACACGGCAGCTAACTTCTCTAGTAACATTAGAGAAAAGTGTTCCACGCGAGGGGAGAGAAGCCTCATCTGCTTTAGGACCGATCGGGACAATGGGAGATCGACGTGGTCCCTCGCAGCCGTTGATGCTTCATCTACACGTGGCGCTAACTAGGATCTTCATGCATGACTGACGGCAAAGTCCTGGATGTGTCGTGGGTTAGACCACCAACAAGTCTGGAGTAGGTCTAAAGCAAACAACGTCGGTGTAGGTTAGTTAATCTGATCAGTACGGAGTAGCTACCGATGTAACGGCACGAAACCGTTGGGATTGACCTCAATGTTGAAGACCCTCCTCCACAGTTCATCCCCTAGGCGGCCAAGACCACCCATAACCTTGGAAGGTAGATATTCGGAGGGGCTTTCATTGTCATTGATGAGGAGGCAATTGATCAATTACATTATCAATCATATCCGACAAAGCCTGTTGGTCTACACTTAGGGTTCAAAATATTTGCGCATGGGCGGTAGGTTTTCATTGGGTGAATATCATAAGGTTTCATGGTGCCTGACCCGGCGGAACGCATCCATGTCCTATTCCTTCCGCTCCACAGCGTCATTTTTCTGGGAAAAA